TTTTTTTTTTTTTTTTTTTTTTTTTTTTGTTATTTAGTTGGATAATCTGGTTGGAGATGCTTCAGTAGATGTTGATTGGAGGCGCTCATTTTATTTGAACTTGATTGCTCACACTTCATTTACTGTGACTGTGGCAATTTGCAGGTATGGACTTTTTATGTGTTCTCTTTATTTTCTTAATAGACTTGTCTGATTTTCTTGAACACATTGCCTGCATATGTCTTGAGAGGTTTGAATCGTATGATTGTGGGCATATTATTTTTATTACCATGTGTTCTAGCAGGATTGCTTGTTATGCATAATCCTTATATGTTCTAATTATGAACTGAGAAGTTAAATTCTCTGCAGCATTCGACCTTTTTTCTGTTACCTGGTCAAGTCTTTTTGTGACTTTCGCTAGTGTCATCTTTATACACAATATCATCTTATAAGAATGGGAGCAAATTATTTTGGTTTAGAATAAATTTGTTAGGGATGCAATGCATATTCTTGTAATGACTAATGTTTCATGTTTTTGCCTATTTTTCTTCCACAAACTTTATAGAATCCACCTTTTTGGAGTGTAACATCATCTTTTAATATCCTTTGTGAAAATGACCAACACAAACAGAATCCGTTTAGTTAAATACTATTTGGTGCAATAATGTAGTTATTGAGGTTTATTTCCTTATTCCTCTCCCATGAAGCTTCATCAATATTGATTTGTTGTTCTGTTTATTGATCTTTTTTCTTATTTCATTCCTTCTTCAGTCATCTGGTTCTTCGAAATCATCAAGCTGGACATACTACATCATTGTCTCCTATATATAAGGTATTTTTATGTGCACTCTTATTTAATTGTTGGATTAATGTTTTGTCTAGAACTCATGCCCGGAAGGTCACATACTTCTGATGTTGGTATAATAATAAATATACCTTGGCTATGTATTATGACGACATTTAGTACTTTGGTTTTCACCTTCTTTTATGACTATAATGATCCTTTGATAAAAACCATGGATTGCTGCTGGTTTTCTGGTCATTCAACTGTGGTTTCATGCAGTCTTGCCCTTTAATAAATTTTATTTTCATCATTTATATTTTTCTGTTCGGTTTGGGACTCTCTGAAGGTTGTAAAGACTGTTTATGCATCTCCTAGCCGTGTCAATTTTCATTTGGATTCTAAAAAGGTAAAGTATTTGTTGTCCAGAAAAATTCTCTATCATGCTATACTATCAATGTCAATTTGACTTTATCATAAATTATATTCAGGAAGTGGAGACAACACCTGCATATCCAGATATTTGTTTTGCAGTTGATGACTTTGACTCCACCTTTGATGCAGTGGTAATGTTCCTAATGAATCTCATCACTAGTTTGTTTGTTTGTCTGTTTTTTTTTTACTCAATAAATATGCAAGTAATTGGTTGTTGGAATTAAGTTTTCATGATCTATGCATAAGCATTTGCTGACTCTGTTTTAACTGTGCTAAAATTTATATGTATATTTTTTTTATCCATGAATGTCAATGTCGGAGTGTACACACCTCGACTAACCTCACACGCTATTCCCCCAACCCTACTACATTTGGTTGCCTAGAAAATTTGTAGGATAATCTTAAATAGGTGGCCACTATGACTTGAACCTATTCTCACCAAGCCATTTATTATTGACCTTGATCCTAATTGACTAGTAGGCCATATATGATAGTTTTTTATGTTTTTTTTTCTTTCTGAATAAGGCATTTGTTTCCCTTTAATGTAAACACACGCTGAATCATTGAACCAGAATTGAATGTTAACTTTTGGAAAATTTTTAAACATATGTAATCATGCATAATCTTTTGGTCAGTCATACTACTTATACACTTGAGATACAATTGCATTTGTTGAAATTTCAGTGTTATTATTCAGGTCTTAACAGAGACTGACCATTGCTATTGTGTACTTCTCAATGCACATGGTGGTGCAGCTTTTCCCGGGAAGGACAATGCAGAAAATTGCAATTCTAGTAATCTTATGGCCTCATGTACGGATTCTGATCCTCAAAGTATGAAGGATTCCAAGGTTTGCGTTGCTTCACTTTCCAGCTGTCTACCTACTATTATTTACTTGTTGTCAAGAGCTACTGAATTGTCCAAGCATTGCGGATCATGTGAATCTCACTTGTAAAATTATAAATAAAACCTTCATGTTAATGTAAAAACATAATGTTGCCCTACTTCATGCTTGTTTATGTTGAGTTGCTTGAGCTAAGCCATTAGTGAAATTGTAATTCATACCAAGAGGCATATGATAGAGCCATAAAGGACTATATTATAGTTTATTGATAGGACTAGTACTTGGAGGGTCTTCTTTCTTCTTCTCTCTTTAAGAAATTTAATCCGCTTTCTTCTTCTCTCTTATAATTTGGATAGCTTTATAGATGTTTTTACTTGAATGATTGTAGAGCTTTTCTTATTGTTATCCCTGACATATTTTCTCAAGGGGGTGCTAGCTACACTGTATGGACTATATGGATGATGGGGAATACTTATTATGAGTAACCCATCTTGCAGAAAAGGGAGTTCTCGTTAAATATTCTAAATTTAGTTTCCCTTGGAAGTCAATTTTTTCCTTTTCAATGATCTGTAAATGCATATTTTAAGCAAGCGGAAGATTTGAACTTTGTGAAATATGAGTGTTGGATAATGAATACTCACATCGTTCTAAATGCTGCAGATTACTCTTTTCTCTGGATTTGTCAGCTACCAAATGGTTCGAGATGCATATGACGGTATATATATCTAGAATATCTTTTTTTCTTCAATGTGGTATAACATTTATCATACTGAGTTTTCCATTCTTATTCAATGGGGAAGAACTTTACTTCGTTCAAATTTATCCAGCCTATTTGTTGATATGGGGTGTTGCATCAAATCATTGTTTCCCAGTAGGATATAGGATGTACGACGTAAGTAACTAATCCTTATTGATTCTCTGAGCTAATAGTGGATGTTTTGTCCGTTAGTTTGAATAGCACAGACCTTTTCTACTAATTCTAGAGTTTAAGCTAGCCTTCCACTTGATACCTTTTTCTTTAATATTTATTAATCAAATATCGAAGTTTCTCTATACAATCTATCTGCAACTCTTTTATTCAACCACTTTGATGGACATATCCCATTAAGAGAAAATAGAGGACTCTTCAATGTGTTCTTTTGTCCTTAGAAATTGAAAGAAGGCTGTGATGCAATTTTTCCTTTCCATTTTCCATCTTGTTCTCTTATCATCATAAGGTAGACTTCATTTATGTGACGTTTCTGCTGAATTGTTTATAATTAGTATTGACTAAGAGAGAAATTCCTGATAAACAGTACTAGATTTAATGTGGTTTTCACACTTGGTGGATAAATGCGTGGCTTGTTATCCCCTTAGAGATAACTTTGTTGAATTGATTGATATCGTTCATATATGAAAAATATGTATATATATTTTATTGTAGTGATATTTTACTATTGCTATGTGGTGGCTGGATCATAGTTCAATAGTAGTATACTCCCGCCTATGCATATGGTGTGTATCTTACGTAGCCTTTTGCAGAAGCGATTTTTATTGTTAACTTTTCCGAAGTTTATTTTTATTAGAGAGACTAGGTGGTAAGAGATTTAGTTTCTCACTTTCTTTCTTCTCTCTTGCACTTATTGACAGCTGGCAAGTCTAGATTTGGCAGCCTTCTCTCTCTTGGTCATGCTTCTGGCAAAATAGACAAAATTTACATGAAGGGACCTGGAGGACGTGGGGAAGTTGAAGTTGCTGTTTCTGGTGTTGCAGGTAGGTTAGGAAATAGTCTTTTCAATGTTATCAAGCCTTTTATTCTTCTAATTGAGTAATAGTACACAATATTTTCCTTAACTATAGCAATTAAAGATAAATTATCTTTGCACCTTTTGTTAGTCCCAACTCCCCCCTGGCTCTTTCTCCATTAGAAGGGACGGATACCATTATGATGTTGTGAGGCATTTTTTATTCTTCTCCTTGTTTTTAGTTTATCAAAAAAAGCTTGTTTTGAACCAAATGATCCCCAAAAGTTATCCTCGTAGGAAGCTTATTTTACTAGAAAGTCTTAATTTATTACGATTGTAGTAACATAACATTTGTAGTATCAGTTTTGGTAGCGGGGTGAGAGAATGAGCATTGGATTATTTGAAGATTTATTGCAGTTTAAGTTATTTTATTGGGTGAATAATATTATGCCATTCCTCTTTTCATATGGTTGATAGTTAATTTCATCTGTCTAATTATTGTCTTATATGTGTTTGTATTATAATATCAGATCAAAGCCTGCAGGATTCTGGGCCCTTTTCACCTGTAGTATCAAAGAGAGGATTTGGGATTGGCACCATAGTTAGAAAAGCAGCATCTGTAGCAACTGTTGCTGCAAAACAAGCTTATGCAGCTGCTAGTAGCACTAGTTCTGATGACGAGATGATACCTCTCAAGTGTTGCTTGATGTCCATTTCGTTGCCCTGGGAATACATCGCACACGATCTTTTGTTCAAGGTTAGTTCATTATTAACCATCGTGACTTTGCATTATCCATATTTCACCACATTTGATCTCAGGAGGTGGGTTGTGGATGTCAGACTTGGGAATTATATTGGTATTGATTCTTTAGGATTGGTCTGGTAATATTTATGTTTCTTCTTATCGCTTATTTCTCATTTTCTTTTTTCTGTTAAAATGTCTTTGATAATAAGAGAGGTTTTGGTCCAAAATTGGGATTGAGATTGGTATTGATTTTGTAGGATTGTTCTGATAATATTTATTTTTCTTCTTTCTTGTATATTTCTCCTCTTTTTTTAAAAAAATTGTTTTTAAAGAAACAAAAATACATTTGTCAGAAGAAGATTTTCATTTTCCCTTGAAAAAGTAATGAAAACATTAATTTCACCAATATTTTGGAAAATTAGAAATAAGAACTAATTTTCCCCCCATAATTTATATAATATGTAGAAGCGTTGATACCATGAAAAAAAGGTGGAAAATTGTTTTTTCTTCTTGTTGAGAATGAAAACTAGTTATTTTATCTCTTTGAGACTAGAATACTTCTTCTCTGTATACAAAATAAGCTCATTACTAAATTATTAGCATATTTGATACTGATTAGGCACAAAAGAAAACTATGGAAGGGAGGAAGATGAGGAACAGCATAATTGGGAATGAATCCTGAATAAATGATTTCATCACCAAAATAAATCTTAGGTTTTTTGGCCGAAAGTATGCATCTTAAGTTTTAGTAGTACGTGAAAAATACCCACATTGGCATATCAGATGTAGGGTGCTGCAATTTATTTATTTATTTATTATTATTATTATTATTATTATTTTTGGTTTACTCCTTGCACTTTTGGTTATGGAATTACCTATTCTGTAATAATGATCACTAACTTCTAGAGTCATCAACCAGGGAAGTCCGCCAGTGAACTTGTGAGGCATCATAGGTTTCCGTCACTGAGATATAAACTGAAGTGGAACTTTTAGTGGAGAGAAATGGCTACTATTGTTGTTTTGGAAGGCTCCAAAGTTTCAGGGAGGTACTCCTTGTACGCACACAACATGAAAGAACTATTTGTAAAATTTGATTGTCTTTGGATTATTGTTGTTATTTGCATAGTTTTGTGTCGGGTAATAGAGAGGAATCTTGCTGAAGAGATCTTGTGGAATTTAACTGTGTAGCAAGCGCTTGATTCAATTCATAATCACCTACTTAGCAGCAGGCGCAATTTCTTTTCTTTCTTTTTTTTTTAGTCAAAGACAATAGGAGGTTAGAGATTTCAATTCCTGATGGGTAATTTAAACGAAGTTCAAGCTGTCTTTCATTTGAGTTGTTGTTCCCAAATATTATGTTCAACAGATGGATGGAAAGCACTTTGCATTGCATCTCCGTTGGAGTTATTCTGTAATTTGTATTTATATCTTTTACCAATGGGGGGCCGGACAACTATCATCTTGTGTATAAAATGATTTTTTATTTCCTGGAATTTCTTTTGTTTTAATAGTTAGATTTTTACAGACTAGACACGCTTCGCTTTCCGGCTTTGAAGTCTCAACTATTTTCAAATTTTTATTTACTCTTTCCCTTCTTTGGAACATGTGTTCATTCTCATTCGTTTCTAATCTTATAGCTTTAGTTTGAGCAAGATCAATATACTTAATTAGCAAGTTTTTAGAGCTTGTTATGGACACGGAGGCTTGAGTTGCCATATTCTTGAAGGTCCTAACTTTATTTTTCTAGCTTCAGCCTCTAACGCATGAGCAATCTATGCTCAACAAAGCTATTCATAGATTCCAAGTATGAACAGCGCTTTAGTGAGTATCTTACCCACTTTTCTGTCGCATCTAAGATTGGAAATACTTGTGCAATAAAAAGTTGTATTTGCATTGAGATACGCGTTAAAAGTAAGCAGATTTGGCAGTACTACATTGGGGTTACAAAAGCAACTTGCAAAGGGGTACCTGACGACGACATCTCAAGTTCCTTGGCGGCATGGCGTCTAGTTAAGGTAAAAATGCAGTGTAAAACATTGGCTTCTAAGTTGTAGTACCATGTTAATTTTCTTCACTTCGTACAGGTAAAAAGTTCAATTTACAGGGGAGAGGTGCAGAACTTGCATGTTAGCCTCCATTACCGGTAAACCTGACCCCTTCGCTTATGCTAAAGGCTAAAACTAATTGTTAATTAGGAAAGACAACCGTAGGAACATTTGCTGTAAATTTATTATGGAATCTTCTCTACTTGAGATTTGGTGTTGTGCATGCCATGTCTTGAACTATGGGCAAAGCTCCGGATCAAGTGAAACCCCAACTGTGCTTTTCATGGTTGGGTTAAAAAAGCTGCCCTCTTCGATCTAATAAATAGGATTAAAGAAACATACTTTTTAGTATATAATTAGCTCTCGTAGGTTGGATATATGTGTTCTAGGGTTATAACCATAGCCAATGTCTAGTATGCGGTGCTCGTGTATCTCGAGTAAATAAATCACTAAAATCTCAGGTTTGAATTACAAGTTTATTACCTCAATTTTAAAGTTCGTTTATATGGTCCATGAAATTTTAGTTTTGTGTTTAATTAGTTTGAGTTGCATAATGTAATACATATTACATAAAAAATAAAATTTAAAAAAAAAAAAAAAAAAAAAAAAAAACATGCTTTACTAAAATCCTTTGACTTTGTTGAACTCAGGTTGAAATCAAAATGTTAGACAGACTTTTTAACATGTTATGAACTCAGTTTGAAATCCTTTGACTTCCCTCCCATCCTTTGTAGGCAGAATACACCTTGTTGGTCTCCACACTGGCGGGATCAAGTAAATAGGTTAGCCTTTAGATTTGAAGCTATAATATAATTCTTCAAGTCTCTCATTAGACAAACTTGTGGGTACTGGTTAATGAGAGCGGGGTGAAAATCAGAATAAGAAAAAGAACAAACCCTTAAACGCAAAGGTAAAAAGAAAAAGAAAAGAAAAAGGACTATGGTCTGCACTTTTGTACAATGGGTGTTGCCCATAGTATTCCAAAACCATGCTGATGAAGCTTGGGGTATTGTCTTTCCTTTTTTAGGCTAATTTTTTTTATTCATTCATCCAACTGTTCATCCGTTGGCTTACACTGTGTTGCAGCAAAGGCATGAGCTCAACCATACACCATGCCATTCTCCCTTCAACTTTTTAACCTTCATGACTTCTCCATCCCGCCCTGTCGTTTTTTGCTTGACTCTTCATGACTAAGCTAAACCACAATCTCATATTCCCCAACTACTCTCTCTCTCTCTCTCTCTCTCCCCTGCCCATCTAAAAGTTTAAAGCAACATTTCTGGTTCAGCACCTTGCCACCGCTGCACAACTCCCCATAAAAGCTAAACCATATTTTGCCACATTACCATGTCTTTTATTATGTGGGTCTTTGCATAACTTTAAGTGCTAATGGCATAGCTAAACATGAATAGTAGTAGTAGTAGTAGAAGAGCATTGGTAATGCTTCTGTTGTCTGCCAGATGTTCCTTAAAGCACCTTTCTAATTTTGTTTCCGAAACTACTCTTTAGCTCTGTTCATATAAATGGTTTGAGTTATAGGGTCTGTTGCGAAATTAATACTGTTCTTCACGTCTGTAATAATTTTTTTTAAAAATAAGTTAGTTTCTTGAATATATATGTTCATAAAAAAATAATAATCCAAAAGAACTGAAATTAGTGATATGTCCTTTCGTAGGAAACAAATCTTCATGATACCTGGTATCATCATAGGGGAAACAAAACTGTCTAAAGAAAACAACGTAAGTTTGTTGGGTTTGTATTAATTGATTTTATTGTTTCCTCATTCTTCTTTAATTTGCTCTTTGATATATATATATATATATATATAAAGGGGGATGTATTATTAAAAAGAAAAAAGAAAACTTGAAAGCAATCACAAAATTAACATACATTTTTCTTATGAAACAAATCACGTGTTATTTTACAATAAAAGTTGTTTTTTTTTTTTTTTTTTCTTTCGTGGGCAGGTTTAGCTCACTCCTTCAAGGTTCATGCCTTATTGGGTCCCATGTGTCTCTCCCATTTCTTCCATAAATACCCAACACTTCCTCTTCCTTCATCCCCTTTGTTCTCTCTCTCACAGTTTAGTTTCGTTTACATGGCAATCCTGAATATGGAGGAAGAAGTTGGGTTTCAGGGTGAGGTACCTGAGAATCACCAGGAGTTCACTGCCACTGAAATCCAAGAGCTTTTATCACTCTTTCTAGTCAACGACGGGCCTCCAAGTTCCGGTTCCGATTCACAGGGTTCGATCCCGACCTCGGCAGCTTGTTCAACCAATGACGACGAGAGGAAGCTGCGTCGGATGATATCAAATCGGGAGTCAGCCCGGCGGTCACGGTGTAGGAAAAAGAGGCATTTGGAAGATCTGACTAATGAGGTGAACCGGTTGATGATCCAGAACCGGGAATTGAAGGATCAGCTGGGCCGGATTCTCAGCCGCCGCCATATGGTTCTGAGAGAAAATGATTGGTTGTGGATGGAGTCCGTGGGTCTTCGGGTCAGACTTTCGGATCTTTGCCGGATCTTTGCCGTCATGCAATAACCGTCAAAGAAGCTTACGTAAAAGTTAAAAAGGAAAAAGTAAAAAAAAAAATTACTACAGCACAAAACGCCTTGTATCATACGCATTGGAAGTGAAGAAAATATTAATGCTCTTTTTCTTTCTTTGAATAAAGGCAGCTCCCTTGAAAAATATTAAAAATAAATTGTTTTCTTTTTCTTCAATTTTACTTTGGTCTCGCTGGACTTCATCCGAAATAAAGGTAATTTGGTAAATTAAGAAGATTATTTAATGGTGTTTTTAACCGCTGATTCCGTTTGTCAATACATTTTTATTCTTTCTAATTCACTAATTTTCTTCATAAATTGACAAAGAACAACATATAAGGATGTTCTTGACCAATTATGAGGGTTCATAGTATTATTAAATATTATCAAAAACCAATAATTCTTTAATACAAATAGTATAAAAAGTAAATAAAAAGGAAGGGATTTTGAAATGTTGTTGGAGGTATCTTTTGGGCGATGCGTGCACATGAATCACTGAAACCCATGCTCTTGCCTGCAAAATGCATCTCAATAAAAATTCTATTTTGACCACTTTTTTTTTTTTATAAATATATATAATAATAACAAAAAACCAAACCTTTTTACGTTAAAAACTCTGTGACATCAATGAACTGAACCCTTTTTCAAAAATTAAATAATTAGCAAGTTGCTTGTTTGGTGCCAGTCCTTTAGTAGTTCTTTAAGTATTACAATTTACAACTTATTAGAAAAATATTTAAAAAGTCTGTAAATTTCTGTCTGTTAGTGATAACTAAAAAAATAAGTATAATAACTAAAAAATTCGAACAACAAATTTACTCGCTAAGAATTGGAACAAAAATTATGCTAGAAGTTGTTTGAATTAAGAATAAAAAAATTGTTTATCATATCATCAAATACTCATTTCACACTAATTAAAATGCATTATTAAGTAATGTGTCAATGCAAAATTTTAATTAAAATAATATTATCTTTATTTAAAGTTTTATTTTAATCTAAAATAATAGCTAATTGAAACAATTTTACGTTGACTAATAAATATTTATATAATTTTCATACGAGCGAATACATACATATAAAATATAGTTATATTTTATTAATGAGATATTTATAGGAATAATTTGATTTTTTATATTAAAGAATAATTACTAACGGTAATAAAATCACATATAGAAAATTTTTCACAAATAGTTTTCTACTCACTATGTTTTAGAGTTTTAATAAATCGATAGAAAAAAAAAACGAGTGAGATAGAAAGAACTTCTGTCTCTTTCGGCGAAGGAGCTGGTATGGTGTGGTGTGGTCCATCACTAGATGAAACTTTTCCCTTTTATTTGCCTTTTTTTCGTATGTAACAAAAAAATATATTCAAAGGAGATTTACTTTTTATTCTACTTTTTTTTCCTTAAATTTTGTAAGATAACAGAGAGGACATCGTCCATACTACGATCCACCTCGAGCCAAACTAAGAATATATAGATTGACCAACCTGATTTTCTGGGTTGATCTAAGAAATTTCTCTAATTCGACTGATTCAATACATACCCCTACCTAAAATATAGAAGAAGCTAAAATATAGAAGAAAAGCTTGATACACATCTTCACAAGCTTTAATTCATTTTGGTTCAACTTTTTTAAGCTATTATAATTCACGTGTACTATAATGCATGGTAGCTTTATAACAAACTATGAGAACATACTTGTCCTGTTACAACGAATTCAATAATATATACACTAAAGAAACTCCACATATTATTATTATAGTGTATTTCAACATCAAAAACATATCTCCTTGAATAGAATGAATACATAAAAACAAATTCATAATCCAAAAAAACTTTCTACACATTCATCATTCACTAAATCTTAAATTATATTTTAAAAAGATGTAAAATCAAGATTACAAAATCTTTCTCCCTTTTATCATAATCTATATGCTTTAATTTAGAGAGGATATATTGTCGTTGATATTGATTCATTGCCCTTTCAACAATGCATGTGCCTCTGCACAATATACTAGATTTCTAACAATGGTGACATTCATATAATTGATCAACCATACCCAAAAAGAAAACCCACATTAACTGATTAATTAAAGCTTGATTATAAATATTTAATTTTACTCAATTGTATTTTCTAAAAACCCATTCTCGATTAACATTTTGTATAAATTATAAAACCATATCCGAAAATATTATTATTTAATTAATTTAGATAAAAATAAATTTGAACGATTAAATTCTAAGATTTATTTTTATTAAAAATATAAAGTCAAAACATTTTTAATCTAAAAAGCAATGCCCATAATTCAAAAGAGGGGGCTGCCGACCCCTTTTTTGCAGGTCCACGTGGACGGTGCAGATTGGAGGTGTTGAACCGGGAATGAAAAGCCAAAAAGGGGCGGATAAAAAGAAAGCAGGGAGGAGGTTAGCAATTGCCACGAGTGTTCGGTTGACCGAAGGAACTGAACCTCACAATTCATGCCATGTAATGGTCTACGTCTCACTCGCTGATTGGTTACCTTTGTTTTGGGTGATTTATTTGAAGCTGATTAAAGCTAATTGAATCACTTTATTTTTTTGGGGGAAAAAATAGTGTGGATTGGGAAACATGGTTCTGCTTGTTATGCTTTTCTTTGTCAGATGGAATGTATCGAAGTCGTTGCAACGACTCTCTTTTTGAATTTGAAATGCATTTTATTTAATTAAATTTGCATTAAACAATATTTTTGAAGTTGAATAGAGGAACAATGTAATAATTAAATAAACAACCAGCTAAATGTTACCCCTACTCAAATTGGGCTTAGATTTAGCCCAAAGCATTTTTAGAAAACATTGGGCCCGGCCCATTTGGTTGAATTGGGCTTATATTTGTAATATTCTTCTGTTCATTTGGTCGAATTTAGAAAACATTGGGCCCGGCCCAATGTTGTAAATGTAGCCCAACCATTTCAGACTGGCTTGTTGGACGTGGAGATTTCGTCGAAAAGCCATCTTTTGTGCGGCTAGGGTTTCGAGGTGTTGTTACGCCCAAGAGTTAGGGTTCATAAGACCTTGTTTTCTCTATAAATTGCGCCGTTCAATGTAAACCAGTGAATTACAGTGCATTTCCCACGCTCAACGCCTTCCGCATTTGCAACTCTCTTCTTAGCTGCTATGATTCATTCGTTTTTCTGATCAAATTCGATGTCTACTTCGATTTTTTCGCCTGGTTCTTTCAGATTACAAGCGGGTTCTATGATATAATTTCGTAGGTGATATAGATCTATTTGCTTCCTTCTTCGTTGTGTCTTTCGAATTCTGACGTTTTTTTTTTAGTTTCTTCTACGATTTGGTAGAATCATTTTGATTAGAATATTGTTTTGATGAACTTGTTTGATTTGGCTTGGTTGCGATGATTATAAAAAATTCCTCGTTCTGAATGCTATTGCCATGGCATGACAGACACCTTACACCCATAGAATATGAGCAACTTGCCTTTCTCAATCTACTACGTTATTTTAGTATTTTTGTATCGTTTTATGAACGCTTCTTCTGATCTTCTCTGTATTTCGAAAACCTTCTTTTACTCCATTGATTCAGTTCGTGTTTGATTAATTGGACTGATTGAGTTTGTATCATTCTAGATAAATTGTTTATGAATCTGATTTATGATTTGTAGTTAGAGCACAGCTTATTAGGATTTCATTGTTGCAGAACTCTTAATCTTAATTTGACGGAGTTGTACTTCTTGAAGTCGCAGCGCATGTTCACGTAACTGCTTTGTGTATCTCTCAACTCCTATAAAGATAATGGAGGTGTTTAAAGCCATAACTTGGTAGTGGAAATGCTCCTGAGGTTAGGGTTACGCACACCACCATATTCCAGTAGGACAGATTCTTTTCTTCATCATCTCATCTTACAGGCTCCGCTGCGATCATCCAGTTCATGTAAGCACATCATTAAAAAACTGGAAAACTAAATTGCATTTGTTTTCACACAATCCTTTAATGAGATGTTCATAATTTTAAATTCACATTGGAATTATAACCCAAAATTCACAGATGATTTTATTCCCCAACTCAAACTAAATTCAACTTCAAATTCAATTATTTTGGGATAATTTTAAGTGAATATTTGATGGATTGATTACCTAATATTAAGAATAAAATTTTACAATTCATTCACCGCATGAAAGAGATCAACATGAGTAGAATTAAGGAAAATTCATCATGTTTTTGGACCTGGGAGATTGCTGGATTAATAAATAGATAAATGTAACGAACCTAAAGTCTAGAGACGCTTCATATTGGGTCGTGGTTTAGAGTTATTGGGCTATTCTCTTTTTATTTTAAACAGGCTTATACAACTGACCAATCGATGGGAGTAGTTGGCCCTTTGGAGTTATGGGCTGGGCCCATTAAAAAGTGATAAAAGTTCACTTCCCTTTACAGAGGTTTCCGAAAGAAAAAAACAACGTGTGAGCGGTGGGTAGAATTGACCAAAACAATATAATTAAAATTATAATTTTAATAAAAGACTTGGTTCTATTGTTTGTTAGGCCAACTACCTCCTCCTTAAAGAAAAGTTATCAATCTGTACGCGCATACTCTGAACCACAAATAAGTGTATTGCCTAAGTTTCACTCTCAAGTTTGGGAAATTAGGTATTCATACCCCTCGCTCTCGTTCTTGCAATTCTACAGGCATTCAAACTAATTTTCGGTCTTTTTGCCCAATTCCCTGACTTTCCTTGTCCTCGCCCTACTTTAAAGAGTGAACCGATATTATATTTTCCTGTCTTTGCCAATTCTCCAACCCCCTCATCCTTGCCCCATTTTAAACCCATTTCTCTGTTTCTGTCTCGTCCCTTTATTATAAGAAACAATGGAATTATCACCGTTATTTTAATCGTTACTCAATTTGTTAAAACATATATATTCTCTATTATTCTTCATCTATATGTTTAAGCCACTTCCAACTATGTTCAACCTTCAAACTATTGAAGGAGATCCACATGTTTATAAATTATAAGTATAATGTAAATGTTGAGTGAAAT